ATACATATATATATTTTTATATATATACACATATATATCTTCTTTATCCATTCATTCAGTCATGGACACTTAGGTTGTTTCCATAGCTCAGCTATTATAAATAATGCTGCGATAAATATGGGGTGCATGGATCTTTTTGAGTTTGTGTTTTCGTTTTCCTCCAATAAACACCCAGAAGTGGATTATATGGCTATTCTATTTTTAATTTTTTGAGGAACATCTGTTCTGTTTTCCATAGTGGTTGCACCAATTTACATTCCCACCAATAGTGCATGAGGGTTCCCTTTTCTCAACATCCTCATCAATGTTTATTTTTTTAATTTTTTTGGTAATAGCCATTCTAACGGTGTGGAGTGATATCTCTTTGTGGTTTTGATTTGCATTTCCCTGATTAGTGATGTTGAGCATATTCTCATGTACTTGTTGGTCATCTGTGTCTTCCTTGGAAAAATGTCTATTTAGATCTTCTGCCCATTTTTTAATCAGATTGGTTTTTTTTGCTATTGAATTGTATGAGTTCTTTACACATTTTGCATATTAGCCCCTTATCGGATATATGATTTGCAAATATTTTCTCCCATTCAGTAGGTTGCCTCTTCATTTTGTTGATGGTTTCCTTTGCTGTACAGAAGCTTTTTAGTTTGAGGTAGTCCTATTTATTTTTGCTTTCGTTGTTTTTGCTTTTGGTGTCAGGTTCAAAAATCACTGCCAAGACCTATGTCAGGGAGACTATTGCCCATGTTTTCTTCTAGGATCTTTATGGTTTCAGGTCTTATGTTCAAGTCTTTAATCCATTGAGTTAATTTTTACATATGATGTGGCCCAGTTTAATCCATTTTGAGTTAATTTTTATATATGATGTGGCCCAGTTTCATTCCTTTGCATGTGGCTGCCCAGTTTTCCCAATACTATTTATTGATGAGCCTGTCCTTTAAACATTGTATATTCTTGACTCCTTTGTCATAAATTAATTGACCACATATGCATGGGTTTATTTCTGGGCTATTTTGTTCTATTGATCTATGTGTCTGTTTTTAATGCCAATACCATACTGTTTTAATTAATATAGCTTTGTAATACTGTTTGGAATCAGAGAGCATGATGCCTCCAGCTTTGTTCCTCTTTCTCAAGAGTGCTTTGGTTATTTGAGGTCTTTTGTGGTTCCACACAAATTTTAGAATTCTTTGTTCTATTTCAGTGAAAAATGCCATCAGAATTTTTCAGGGATTTCACTGAATCTGTATATTATTTTGAGTAGTATGGACACTTTAACAATCAGTATTAATCCTTCCAACCAATGAGCATGGAATATTTTTCCATTTATTTGTCTTAAGTTCCTTCATTAATATTTCATAGATATCAACACTCAGGTCTTTCACCTGCTTGGTAAATTTTTAGGTACTTCGTTCTTTTTGATGCAGTTTGTAAATGGAATTTTTTTCTTAGTTTCTCTTTCTGATAATTTGTTATTAGTGTATAGAAATGCAACCAATTTTTGTGTATTGACTTTGTATTCTGCAATTTTATTGATTTATTAATTCTAACAGTTTTTTGACAGTCCTTAGGATTTTACATATATATCATGTCATCTGCAGATAGTGAGTTTTACTTCTTCCTTTCCAATTTGGATGCATTTTATTTCCTATTCTTGCCTAATTGCTGTGCCTAAGACTTCCAATACTAGGTTGAATAAAAGTGGTAAAAGTGGGTATTCTGGTCCTGTTCCTGATCTCAGAGAAAAAGCTTTCAGCTTTTCACCACTGCATACGGTTAGCTGTGGGCTTGTCATATATGGCCTTTACTATGTTGAGGTACAGTCCTTCTTTATCCACTTTGTTTTTATCATAAATGGATATTGAATGTGCTTTTAAAATTATATATTAGACTAATATTAAAATACATTTGTTTTCCCCAATCTTAACTGACTTTGGAAAAGGTAATTATGAAAGAAACCTACCCAGAAAGGGAGAATTATGAGGATGTGCTTGACTTTTTCAGAGAATTAACAGCAGAGTGCAGCAGAGTGCAGGCTGCAAAATTTTGCAGAGGACAATGGATAGACAGACTATAATTTAGATACCACTCTGCATGCCTTGGTGAAAAAGAATCCTATATGGTTATGCTTTATGAAAAGTGTGGCTAATTAGGAACCACTTCCTCGTAAATGTTAACAATTTTACATATGTAATTATTATTTCATTAGAACTGCTCTGCGAGTAATTGCTTTTCTGGTTCATTTTTAAGTGCTTACTACACACGTCAGGCTCTGTGCAATGCATGCCTACATTATTTTGGGAGGTAGATTTTATTATTCCCATGTTTTGAAGGCAAATGAAACTGAGCAGTGAATTACCATACCCACTACAAAGCAATAAAGCCAAGATGCATACTCAGGTGTAACTTCAACATCTATTCCCCAATACAATCCTACTTCATGGTTTTGCTTACATATTACTTATGTACCCACTTAAAAATTGAGTGATATATGTAATAACCAAATAGGATACAGAGTATCACATATTGGTAATAAATTTAGATGTAATAAAATGCTGCTTCTGGCATTTATTTTTGAAAATTGGTCGAACATGTCCATGTTCCTGTTCAGTAAAGACTCTGGAAACTGGTTGAAATAACTTGTTTTTGTAATAAAAAAGACTGTTGCCAAAGTGTACTTTGTGAGCTGCAAAAGAGTAGTAGAGTTCAGAGCAGGGGCTCTGGAGCTGAGGATTTAATTCTGACTCTATCACTTATCTGCTGTGTGCCCCCGACATTTTTTCACTTCTTTCTGGTTGTCTAAAACAGGATTCATTTGTAGTAACTGTACTAATGCATCTGACACTTGTGAACATTAAATGAGTTTAATACACGTAAAGCCTTTGACACATAAACACTCAAAAAACTCTGGCTCATGTTGTCCAAATCCAAAGGCTTATTTCACACTTTCATTCCTTCTTTTTTCAAATAGACTTTTTTTTTTAAGAGGAGTTTAAGATGCACAGCAAAACTGAGAGAAAGGTACAGACTTCCCATATACCACCTGCTCTACACATGTGTAGCCTCCTCCATTATTATCACCCACCAGAATGGTACATTTATTACAAATGAAGAACCAACAATGACACATCATTATCACCCAAAGACCATAACTCACATTAGGGTTCACTATTGGTGGTGTACATTTTGTAGGCTTTAATAAATGTAGAAGCACTTGTATCTACCACTTCAATATCATAGAGAATCGTTTCACTGCCTTAAATATCCTCTGCTCCATGTATTCCTCTCCCCAGCCCCAAAACTTGGCCACTACTGATCTTTTTTACTATCTCCAGTTTTTCCCTTTCCAGAATGTTATATAGCTTGAATCATACAGTATGTGACTTTTTCAGATTGACTTATTTTACTTAGTTATATGCATTTAAGCTTCCTTCATATCCTTTCATGGCTTGATAGTTCATTTCTTTTTAGCATTAGATAATATTCAATTGTATGGATGTACCACCATTTATCCCGTCACCTAATGAAGCACATCTTGGTGTCTTCCAAGTTTTGACAATTATGAATAAAACTGCAATAAATATCTGTGTGCAGGTTTTTATGTGGACATAACTTTTCAACTCATGGGTAAATATCAAGGAGCCATTGTTGGATCATTCAGTAAGAATGTTTAGTTCTGTAAGAAACTGCCAAACTGTCTCTCAATGTGACTGTAACCTTTTGCATTCCCACTGGCAATTAATGACAGTTCCTGTTCCACATCCTCACAAGAATTTGGTGTCGTCTGTGGCTTTTATTTTAGTCATTCTAATAGGTGTATAATAGTATCTCATCATAGTTTTACACTCCTTTTGTGAAACCCAACGATTATGACTGAAAAATTCTTTTACCCCAAAGAATAGCATGGTTATGTGGACTACTGCTGGAAACTATGTACATCTGGCTTAAAATCTAAGTATTTGTTTCTAAACCCATTTCGTTGTATAGTTTTTTTACCACCACCACCACCACCAAGTCTTTCAACAATACTTTGTAGTCAAAGGAAACCACAACTGCATAGAAAAATCAAAACATGCTTAAATAATGGAGGGGGGGATTACTAAGCATTATTAACTTCATTAGCTACTTAGGATCAATTTGGGAGTACATAATCACATTCTCCATAGCCTTTTTTTGACCTTTACGACTGAGGCGGACTACATTCCCCTTGTGACAACGTAGTGGGAGTCTACACATAGTTGTTGGAAGCAAGAACATTAGTCAAGTCTAACTTTTATAACTTCTGTCATCTCAGTACAGAAAGACTACAATAAATCTAGTTTTATAAACAAGTAAAACGAGATCGGAATCATATAGTTGTAACAGGTTCGGACCACTCCACCATTAAGATTTTCAAACTCGAAACTCTCTAAAATCACAATCCCTGCCAGGGTCTCACGGAGCTTCTGAAAGACTGGTCTAGGGGATAGGCCCGACTATTGGTCCTTTCTAAAAGTTTCCCACGTAATTGAAGTGCAGCTGGCTTAGAAAAGACAGTGCTTTAAGACGGACTGTGCACTAGAGTAGCATCTTGCTACGCTCACAGAGGATACTTTTGACCAGAACTGCGTCACACGCCCAAAGCGCCTACGGCAATGCAAACTAACTGTGAGGGGCCAGACAGAATTCCCGGCTTTCTTTTGCATCTAGACAAGGCTCTCATTTCGCTCCGTGCCCGGCTGTATCTGCTCTGGAGCCTGGCGAATTTCTGAAACTCGGCCAGCTGGGCCCAACTGCCCCCCGAGCCAGCAACACCACAGTTACGCCAAAGAAAGATGGGCCTCCTTTCCAGCATCAGCAGCAGAATCGTCGGTACCGAGGTTTCCTAGTAGGAAGAGAGAAGAGGAGCGGATCACAAACAAACGCCACACAGACCGGCCTCCGAAGCTCCATTAACCCGGGACTTTTTTCCGCGCTCCGACTTGGCCGGAAATGACGCGAGCAGCCAACACGCAGGGCAGTCCCAAGGGAGAGGAGAGCGGGAGGGGGAGCGAGCGGGGGCTAGGGGCGGGGCGCGGTCGTAGCTCCGTTTCCGGTGGCTCGTCGCGCTCGCTCACTCCAGCTGCAGCCACTCTTGCCCGTGGCTGCTTCCTCCATCCTGGTATTTTTTGGAGCCTCCATCCTGGTTCTTCCAAAGTGCCCGGACCCAAAACAGGAAGTAAGTGCGATGGAACCTTCAGGTCCCAACCGCCGCCAGGGCCGCTCCGCCCAGTGGAGCCTGTCCGGCCCCCTTGCTGCCAGTGTGTTCCCGCCGGCCGGCGCAGGCTGTGGGCACCCAGGCACCGCGGGCGGGGTCGGAGCTGGGCCTTCATGATGCTGAAGCTGCCGTCCCCGCACGCTCAGGCCAGGGCCTCCCTCTCAGGGCCTGACCCGCGGCGGTGGCTCGGGCTACAGAGTGGCGTAGAGAGCGGCCGCCGAGGCGCAGCAGCGATCCGGCGGGGGCGGAAAATGGCGGCTGCTTCGGAGGAGCTAAATGGCGCCGGGACCCCTGGGGGTGGGGTGGGCCGGGAGCTTCGGTAGAGAATTGGACCCGAGAATGCGGAGAGTAAGGAAGCCTTAGTTGCTTTCTCGTGGTGTTCCTTTTTTGTTTTTTTTGTTACCTTTTCGGTTTTATGTGGTCCAGTGAAGGAGAGGTGGGCTTGAGAGAGTTGGGCGGGTCTCGTTACCCCCCCCCTTTTTTTCCTTTTACCTTGTTTGCGTCTTAGACTCTTCCATCTTTCGGGATTCGTTCTAGCTCTGCTATTCAAGGCCCATGCAGAGGCAATCGAGGTTGCTGGCCGTAGTTATCTCTGTCAGCCTCTCAAAAAGGACCAGCACTGACTGCGGGGAGAGTGTCCTAGTCGAGCAGAGAACCGTAAAAGGCGTCTGCAAAGTAGTAATTGTCATATTTTGCTGAGTTCTGAGGAAGTTTTTAAATTTTTTAATCTTGTCCTTTAAAATGGACTTTGTTTTGACCCAGTCTCTGGCGTAGATTTGAGAGTGGGGTGGCCAAGTGCCGTTCTATGCAGTTGAATGATACAGCATCTGTTTTTATAATAAAAATACTCGGTGAAGATAAGGAGAGGGTGATAATTATATGGAATGTAAGTCAGGACTCCCTCTCCCTTTCCATGTTTGAATCTGGAAATTCAAATTCGGTGTGTGGTTGCTTTTCTTGTAACTTGATTCATCGTCATGTACCTCCTGACAGTAGGCGAGGCTGCTTGTTGGGACATCCGACAAAATTCAGTCTGTAGGGTGACTTTCGAGTATGCAACGTTTTAAGCATAGAATAATACCATTTCGAATTTTTTTATCTTTTACTAATTATATCTTTATTTTTAATTAGTGCAAGGCGATTAACCATTTATAGCTCTTAAGCTCCAGTCCAAGTAAGAAAATACTCTTCCATTGTGTTGAAAGTTTTACAAACGGGAAATCTTTTTTTCTTTTTCAGTTAAAGGTTTTCATATTTGTCCGTTAAGCTTCTTTCTTTGAGCCGGCTTTAAAGTTGTTTCTAATAATCTTTTTAGTATTACTCTTTTGTTTTGTAGTAATTTGAGTAATTACCACCACTTTAACATTTGAAGGTTATGTGGCGGTAAATACCAAAAACTTAGCGTTTTACTATGGTGGCGTAGTGATAAGAGCGCATTAATTAGGTTAAGATTGAGAAATTTAGTTAAGATTTAGGAAAAAATTAAAATGCAGTTCCTTAACCTTACAAAAAAATTGTCAGGCTGTTTGAGAAAAATTTGGTGTGAGAATAGTTGTTTTTTCATTCACCAGGGACAATAAATAGCTTGAATTTGGAAAAAAATTACAGTTATGAAAAAGACATTTCATGTTTATCTCATCATTATTACTTCCATAAACTTATGTGCCACCAAGAAGCTAATTTTTTGTTTTGTTTTGTTTTACTATTTTAGTTTATAGGCTCACCCCAAAATAGGCTTTTTGGGACTGATCTAGAATCTGCATTTGCTGCGTGAATCTCTTTATTTGATTGCAGTTGAGCTAGATCGTGGAGCCAAAATGCTATTGCCCTTTTTTCATCTACAGTTAATCAGTAAGTACTGGGCATTGCATACTTGCTTAGAACTTCAAGTTCATACCTTAAGCAGTGATATGAATAAATATATACTGTATAAATATTTCCCACAGAACGTTCAGGTTTTAGAAATATTTTGAGGGGAAGCAATCACAAGAACGTTTTGGAGTTAGGATTTGATCTTTGAAAGCAGAGTATGGCTGGGAGATGGTTACTAATAGAGAATTATATCAAAAGAAGGCAGATATCCCCTTGAATCTTTTTTAAGTTCCCTTTTTTTTTTTTAAGGGTTGGTTGGTTTGTTTTATGATGGAGCAAGTTTATCTGATTTCACCCCAAGGCAATGGGAGAGAGAAGCCTTATTTGTAAGGCTAGATATTGCTAGTTAGTATTGAAATACAAACAACAAAAGCTTTTCCTTTTATTCATTTATCTCTCCAACATCTACAGACCCTAGTTTTTATTAATGTTGTAATAAAATTGTGTGTTCTGACAATAACCTCATATTATTGTAAACAGTTGCTTTTATCATGCTCCATTAAGTACATTGGCTTAAAGTTAACACCCGTGAGGATGAATACACTAATGTGAAACACTAGCATCCCTAGGGATTTACAACCTGGCACATAGATGTTAAAAATTTAGGAGGGTTGGGAAGTGTTTTTTAAAGTATTGAGCTCCTAGATCACATTGAACACACATTTATAACCGTTCCAGGGACAGCAAAACTTTAGAACAACAATGAAGTTGAAGAGTTCTTTTTTTTTTTTTTTTTGGTCTTAGAGGCTACTTATTTAAGATGGGATGTTTATCTTCTCAAAATGGAGTTTTATTTTTAAATAGTCAATCTTCTCTTACTGCCCTAATCTTTAACACTTTTTTTCCATATAAAAGGTTTGCTTAGGGATTGGTGTACCTCTAAGTGCTTTGCAATTTCAGTTCCAAAGCTTTTTTTATTCTCAAATGATGGGAAATGACCTGAGAAAGTTACGAACCTGTTGCTTTGTTAAATGATAGATTTATTAAACATGGTATTTGTTTGCTTTCATATCATTCCCTCCCCCCACCTTTTTTTCCCTTTTGTGAAGAGAATTCTTGTAATAGAAATCACAAACAGGTTTTGGTTTTGGTTTGATTCCATAAAGATAAATAAAAGAAGGAACCTGTTTATAACGTCTGCTGCTTCGAGTTTGTGGAAAGATACCCCATTCCAGGACAGAATTCCCGAAAGAAGGTGTCAGGAAAAAGCACACCAGAGATCCCTTTATGAACAGGGTTTTTTTTTGTTTGTTTGTTTTTTTAAGCTGACACTGTTGTCAGGCCATTCTTCCAAGCACTGGGTTGTCAACAGTAATCTTTATTTACCATCACATACTGTGTAGCAGAAGAAATGCTCATTATGTTTATTTACTGACTATGTGTATGTTTGTATCTGTCAAGAAAATGTGCTTTAAAAATAAACTTCAGTGTACATCGGAGGACTGTGGTGATAATTTGATATATTTCCATTTAAAGAGCTTCTAATGGTACCTTGCATAAAGTGCTCAATTTTGAATGGATGAAATTTTTAAATGTAGCCAAATATACATTATAAGTTCTTAAATCATGCACTGGGTGAAAAATAGTCTTTCTTTTTAATCAGCAATACGGTTTTATTGTCAAACCAGGTATGAAATGCTGCACCTTGAAATGAACCATACTGCCAACTAATTCTCTTTGATAATAACATTGTTTTTCAGTAGTTGGTTAATTGGGGGTGCTTGGGTGGCTCAGTCAGTTAAGGGTCTGCCTTCTGCTCAGGTCATGATCCCAGGTCCTGTGGATTGGACCCCGCATAGGGCTCCCTGCTCAATGGGGAGTCTGCTTCTGCCTCTCCCCCAGCTTGTGCGCTCTCTCTCTGGCTCAGTCTCTCTTTCAAATAAATAAAATTTAAGAAAAAAATAGTTGGTAGTTGAAATCAACATCTTAAGCAACTAAAGCCTTTTATAATAAACTCCACAAACAATTTTTTTGACTCAATGTGTAGTCATTATTTTGCCACCTTAAAACTAAGCTATTAGGATCATTAGTTACCTTAGTCTTGTATGCTTTATGTTCATTTATAGCTTTGCTTCTCAAACTTTTCCACAAAGTGTATAGAAGAGCAAATCCCCAGGGGCCTGGAATCACTGTACAAAGCATTCAATCTCAGTGTGAAGCATCCCTATTCCTATCTTGAATAAAACCAGTATTCGCAGCTTTCTATTCTGCCAACGATCTGTGTACTCATGTTCAGGATATAGGCACTTGTTTCTTATTCTCTTCCACTAAGATGTTCTAATTAGCAAAGAGTTGTATTCTTTTAAAATATCTTAAAACATATCTTTAAATTTTTTATTACATATTACTGAGGAGATCCACTTTAAGCATTTCCTAAGGCATTAGTTAATATGCAGTGATAGGTATGGTGGTGGTCATTATGGGGTCTTCATAATAGCACAACCTCAAACAAAAATGTTGATTTACAGGATAATGGTTAGATAAATTTAGATACTATGTACCCATTAGAAATGCTTTGGAAGAATAAGTAGAAATATTGGAAAATAGTCTTAATAAGGTAAGTACAGAAAAAAAAAGTTCTAAAAGATGGAGCAGTATGTTTGGAAGATCATCACAAAATGTTACAGAGGAATATATGAATAACTTATATTGGTTTAAGAAAAGACATCTAAAAATTAAATGTGGCCTTACTGACTTATTAGTTGAATTACCCCAGAAACCTTGCATCTCAGTGTTTTTCATTCAACTCATTCAATAAAATTCTAGTGTTACACGTTCTGTAGCTTGCTTGATTTCCCCGTATAAAAGTATCTTAGAATACTGAATGCTTAGTCTTATCACATCTTTCAGTGTAGAATTCCGAGTCCAAACTTGGAGGGTCAGCAACTTTTAGCTCCTGTGCTTTTCATGATCTCCACTAAAATATATCCTCCCACACTTGGAACTGTTCAGAAACTGGTACAAATTTATCTACAAAACTAGTTCCCAAACTAGGAAGAAATGCCACTTTTGGTTGTAGTTTTTGGAAGATACTTGACATTTTACTTGGAAAATTAGGACCATTAAAGGCCTACCTTAGAGATACTGCA